CTTTAAGTCTTGATAAAGGTTTTGGTACAGCTGCAATATAGTTATCACATCTGTTACTGTAGTCTTGCTCCAATAATATGATGTAATATATAGAAAATATTTAAATTTGAGAGAGAGGTTTCTTTCATTTCCTTTTTAAAAAACCAAAAAGATTTGTCTGGCACAATGTATATTGAATGAATTGAGCCACAGAAACCATTTTATATATATATACACATATGTATATATGTATGTATATATACACACACACACATATATAGTCATATGTGGCAGTAAAACTAGAAAGAGGAAGCTAAGCTGATTGTATTCTGATAGGCTTTATTCATGTAGGTAAAATCTTAAGGAAGAACAAGGCATAGAAGAATGTAAAAAAGGATTTATAAACATTTGCATATAATATGATATTTTTAGAAGGATAGAAAATGAATTGTAACAGTTCATGCCTCTAAGAAAAGGAAATAGCTGGAGGACAGGGAGATTTGCTCTAAGTACCCTGTAAGTTGTTTTATTTTTTAATTTTTACTTGTTTAAACATAAATAGTAAATAAGCAAGTATGGACTTTCAGTTACTGTTAACTTTGTAATGTGCAGGAGAATATTTCTCCTTGTATCCTAAAGAAATTTGGAGAAGTAGACATGAAGCCAAGAGGTTGGAGAAATATTTTTATTTTTTCAGCTTTGAAGGGTGTACTAGTTATTAGGGCTGTTGTAACAAACTATGATACATAGACTGAAAGGTGTAAAAACAATAGAAATTTATTTCTCGTATTTCTGAGACGGGAAGTCTAAGATGGAGGCACTGGCAGATTCTGTGTCCAGTGAGGCCCAGCTTTGTGGTTCATGGATGTTGCTTTCCTGCTGTGTCCTTAACATTGCAAAGAGAGAAAGCAAGCTTTCTTGGGACTCTAAAAAGCATTAATTTTATAAGAAATACTTAGGGAAGAAAATTGTACCTGCACTAGATATATACAGGCTTTTTCTAGTTATCCTTCCTGAAATAACATGGAACAACTATTTACATAACATTTAGGTATTATAAGTAATCTAGAAATGATTTAATGTGTATTGGAAGATGTGCATAGGTTATATGCAAATACTATGCTATGCTGTATAAGGGTGTCAGGCACCTACAGATTTTGCCATGGGGGAATGGCCTGGAACTAGTCCTCTGTGGCTACTGAGGGATGAGTAATTCCAGGGTGAACTTCTGTGGTGGTATTCATCTTTTAGGAATTACTGTTTCTCAGGATTTTGAGATATGTTGCATGAAAAGTTAATTTAGGAGTTAACTCACCCAGTTTATTTTCTGTTTTCACAAAGTTTGAGGTTTTTTGGGGGGTTACTTTGGTACCAGAGATCGAACTCAGGACCTTGCACTTAGGAGGCAGCCAGTGGTGCCACTGAGCTAAATCCCCAGTCCAGCACAAAGTTTTTAATTGGTTCTTAGTGTGTCTTCTCTTGAAGGCCACTGTTTGCTAATCAGTGAGTGTGGAATTACTCCTGGTGTCTATTATGGTTAATGAAGACAGATGGGCCGCTCTTGACAGGTGCTTCTGGAACGTTAACATTTCAGCAGTGTCTGAAAAGGGTTGCTGATTGCTCAGGTAGGCCTTTCAGAGAGGAATTCTGCACTCTTTCAACAGGAGTACCAGGTGTGACTCTGCAGCTAAAGAAGTTTGATTTTATCACTTCATTCGTAGTTGATAAGAGATTGTGAGACTGGATGAAGCTAACCTTGCTGGCAAGTTTGCATAAGATTGAATACCGAAGTGTATTAATTTGCAATGGGATAAGTGCTGTAGCCTCTCGCAGGCTTGTCAAAAGGATAAAATTTGGACCATAACTTTACTTGATGAACACATAGTTTTGCTTGTCTTTTATCTTTATACGATGGAATCATACTGAGTTTATTGTTCTATACCTTTTTTATTCCTTTCTCTCTCTCTCTCTCTCTCTCTTTTTTTTGGTACCGGGCATTGAACTTGGGACCTTGTGCTTACGAGGCAGGCGGTGGAACCACTGAGCTAAATCCCCCGGCCCCTCTTATTCCTCTTAACATTAAGATTTTGATATTTAACCGTGCTAGTGGTATGTACCTATAATTCATTAATTTTCATTCCTATATAGTTTCCTGCTGTATGTACATGTCACAGTTTCTTTCTCTACTCTGCTTCCTTCTGATGTTTCTGTTTCTGATGTTCTGTGAACAACACTGCTGTGTACATTTTAAAACTTGCCTCTTGGAGGTCTTGTGTGTATGTATGTGAAATATGCATGGGCATGTGTGTATGTATGTGAAATTTTTCAAGACAGTATTCTCTATTAAGAGACAAATTTTATAAACTCGAATATTTACTCAAACAACTGTCAACATGTCAGTTGCACTGACATGAGATTACTAGTACGGAATTAAAGCCATTTATATTAAGTGAAGTCGGTTGATCTCAAGTTCTGTCTTCAGTAAGTGACAGTTTTGTTAAATATGTAGTTTGCATTTGAAAATATCATAAAGCACTGAAAGATAGTAACCTCTCATAATATTGTCAGTGTATTTTATAACTATAAAATTGGGGTATAAAATGTTTGTTTTAATCTCCCAGTTCTATCTCCACCCCTATCCTTTCTTAGGAGTAATTTATCACTAAAATCAAAAATGTATTCAATTCATCTTTATGCTCAGCAAAGCCATCTCTATACATTTTTGTGTGAATTATTTAAAGAAAAGTGCATAGAGGGAAGACCACCAAAAAATGTATATACACTTCATGAAAAGAAAAACTGAAAAACTTGTGTAAATATTTTAATATTAAATTTACTGAGACGTCATGAGATAAATGCAAGTTGCCTTTGGCCTCTACAATTACAAGAGGTGTTCAAAGTGGTGACCGTTAGCTTCCAGGCATTTGTTAGTATGGTGAACTGCTGCTTGGGTAACCATTGAGATTGCTGCATATACATTTTCAGTTTCTTCTCTAAGGGCCTGCAGTATAGTGGGGTTTCTGTGATATACGACATCCCTTAGGGTCCCCCATACGAGGGTCACACCATCTGTTGAAAAAGCATACTATTTTTCTTTTCCAGAAGTGTGTATACATTTCAAAGTTTCTCTTTCAAAATCAAGAAATTAATGTTGTATGATATTTTAACTCCAGGCCTTATTCAGAGTCTGTCACTTATTCTTCAAATATCTTTTTGTTTGGTACTGGAAATCGAATTTGGGACTTTGTGCTTGCGAGGCAGGCGGCAGAATCCCTGAGCTAAATCCCCGGCCCTCAAATATCTTTATAGTAAGACATTCCCAGATGACGTGACATAGTCTCTTTTTAGCTGGCACATTTCCTTAGTTTTTCTGTTTTTCTCTTGGTGTTGACATTTTTGAAGAGTACTAACCAGTCCTTATACATAGCCTGCCTTTTAGGTGTAGTTTGTTAGATGTGTCCTCATGATTAGATGCAGGTTTTGCTCTTTGCCAGAAATGCTACATGGTTAAGACCTTTGATCCTTTTCTCTCGGGGTGGGGGGGGCGCTACTCTTCCCTTTTCAAATAATAACTATCTCATAGAGCAGTATTCTTAGGTTTCATTACTATTCTATTATTCAAACTTTTATGCCTAGGCTTTAGAATTCATTGATGCATTTTGCCTGAATCAGTTGTTAAAGTGGTTTCTTAGTGAAGGTTTTTTGTTTTTTTTTTTTGTACAGGGGATTGAACTCAGGACCTTGCACTTGTTAGATTTGTAGTTTTATCATTCTTTCTTCATTTATTAAGCTCTCCAAAGAAGAGCTTCTTCTTATCTCTTTTCCACAGAGTAGATTCCTGTATTTTTAAAATGTTTGTTTGTTTGCTTTGCAGCATTGGAGATTGAAACCAGGGCCTTTGGACATCTTCAGCCTTTTAAACTGTTTTTCCTTATTTACTTACTTATTTTTTTGAGACAGGGTCTTGTTATGTTCTAAGTTATCCAGACTAGGCTTGAATTTAGCATTCCTTCTGCCTTCGAATTCTGGGATTGCAGGTGTGTGCCACACCCAACTTTTATGTTCTTCTTAATAGAACTTCTTTCGATGCTGAAATTGTCACATGTTTGTTCAGTAGGAGCCACTAAGGCCAGCTCCTCTGTCGTTTTGTGTTATGGATATTAGCCTCTTATCTGGGATGTGCTGCAAACATTTTCTTCCATTTTTATCTGTTATTTTTTCCCATAGGTTACTTTTTAAGCGCCGGCTATAGAACCCAGGGCTCTATGCATACTGCATGTGAATCAAGTGCTCTAGAACTTTAAAAAATGCTTGTTTAGTCAAACTGATCAATCTTCATTCTTCCTCACTTTGAGACATAGTTAGCAAGCCTTTCCTCACCCTCGAGGTTAGGAAGAGTTTGCCATTTTCCCCTTTAGTACTAGTAAGACTTCATTGTCTTAAATTTAGACCCCCAGTTCATTTGGAGTTTATTCTGGTGTGTAGTATGAGATGTGGATCTAATTTTATCTGTTTCCAAATGGGTAGCCAATTGTTTTAGTACCATTTATTAAATGATCAGCTTATGTACCACTGGTTTTTAGATGCTACCTTTACCACGTACAGTCCTCAAGCTGTTTTTTTTTGCCTTTCTGTGTTAATCCATTGGTTTGGCTGTCTGCTCATGGGTCAGCACCACACTTGCCAGAGAAGAGGCAGCTCCATATAACTTAATGTTTAGAAAACTAAGTCCTTTCCTCTCCAAGACTATGCGTTGTAGGGTTTTCCTAGCTGTTTTTGCTCATTTGTTTTTCTGTATGAGGCTCATTAAAAAAACTTACTGATGTATTTGTGGGGATTTCATTAAATTTATAAATTATGGTGAACTGACATTTTTGTGATAACTTTTTCTATCCAAAAATAAGAGATCTGTTTAAGTCTTCATTTGTATCTTTTTAGGAATGTTTCCAAGTTTTCCTCTGTTTGGTTTTGCACATTTCTTATTAAATTTATTCTTAAGTATTTTATTTTCTTTGTGCAACTTATAATTTTTAATTTAATACATCATGGGTATCTTAACAGAGCAGTACATGTTGACCCATTTCATTTTTTTTTAAACGGACCTCAGTTTTCCTCTATTGATGTATTTTATGCTGCTTTTAATTTTTCCTTCTTCCAGACAATACTGTGGAGAATACCCTTGTACTTTTTGCTTGATTGGGTTACTGTATCTGTAAGGCAGATTTCTAGAAGTGAAGTTACTTATTAGATGCTGCCAAATTACTCCCTAAATCTATTTGACAAACTTTAAAAATTGAGTAAACTTTATTGTATGTGTCTATTACTACAAGATATTTAAAATTTTGTTTAAAAAAAATCATAAAAGTTAATTCTAATAAAAGATTAAATCTGTGCTTTCATTAATATGGGAAATATAAAGATAGCAGAGGCTGGAGAGTGTATCTCACAGTGGAGCACTTGATTAGCATATGTGACAGCTTGTGTTTTATCCCTAGCACTACACACACAAAAAAGCAAAAATCATAACATATCTTAAATAACTACCATGTGGTTTTGGAAATCAATTGTATGTTTATTTATATACATTTTAAAATATTAAAAATTATCACTTAAGTAGACCTTGAGTTGGCCCTAAAGGAAAGCATTACATCTAGGTTAGTGGAGAAGACCAAGAAAGGGGATTACAAATACAAATGGCATAGACTGAAGTAGAGGTAAAATTTCACCATGTCATGTGAAATTAGTGAAATAACTGCCCTGGATTCAAGTAATGTTTATTATATTCAACAATAAAGTAAGGGGGGAAGTTCATGGATGACTTAGGACACAAACAGTTTAGGTTTGATCTACTCGACAGCAGAGGGCCTTCTCAACTAGTAATCTCTTGCCATGTAACAAATCGCCCCCATGATTAGTAATTTAAAATAACAGTAAACATTGATTATTTCTAATAGTTTCTTTGGACCAGAGATTTGAGAGGTTAACAGGGTATTTCAGGTTTTTAGGGTCTTTTCTGGTATTGAAGTCAAAATGTTGGCCAGGCTACCATCTCTGAGGGCTGGGGGTTGGTAACAAGTTGGTCCTGCTTGGCCTCAGCTCCTTTTTATGTGAGACTGTCCATAGGGCCTACTGTCCTACGACCCGGCAGTCTTGCTTCTCAGATTGTGTATTCCAGGGAAACCAAGCAAAGCATCAGTGCCATTTTTGACCTAGCTTTGGAAACCACACAACTACCTACCACTCTTGCCACATTCTGTTCCTTAGTTGCAAGCCATAAATTCAGCCCATATTCCCGAGGGAGGAGCTAGGCTTCACCTTTTAAAGAGAAGTGTGTCAAAGAATATGGAAAAAGGTTTTGAAACCACTGTACTTCTGTCTTATATTCTAAAGAAGGGGAGTGATGTTAGAATTTGGAAAAGGAAAAAGAACTATGTTATCTAGAGGAAGATTAATCCGGTAGCAATGTCAAAGATGAATTGAATTCTCTTATTTTGTTACGATTTTTTTTGTAAAATAAAGAATTGAGATATAAGAGGTAGATTCATTGAACAGTCAAGTGATGATGAATTTAGTTGAGACCAGTAAGAAAATAGGACACATGGTAGAGAAGATACAGCAGAATGACAAGAAAGAAGAAGAGGATAAAAGTGATCAGCAGATTGATCAGGCAGGCATGTCACAGTTGGAAAGATAAATCAGTTTTGATGGGAGAAAGGGTACTTACTTGGTTTTAGACATTTCAGGAGAAATTTGTAAGGTGTTGGGAATGTACAACTAGAGCTCAGGTTGCAGTGTCTAACCAAAGAGGCACTGTCTTGCCATCCCAGCAGTGATGGTTAAGTTTTTCCAGAGCTGAGAATGTAGAGAAAACAGAGCACTAAGGACTAGGCCTTTAGGGTAGGGTAAACTGTGGTTTGGAGTATGGTTAGGGAGGGAGCCAGATCTGTAGTATCAGAGAGAAGGAAGAACCAGCTGTGTTCTTGGCAGGAATGGGAAATGTGGAGTGATCAAGAGCTTGATATGGTGCAGAATTTGAAGAGAATAATATTTGAAATAAATTCATTTGCCCGCACGATTATTATAGGTGACAATAGTTTAAGTGGAGTAGAACAATTTTGGAAATTGGATTATAACATTTAATTTGATGATTAACTTTTTAGAAAGTGTTTGAGGTGGGAGGATGAGTGGCTGGCTTGCAATTCATCTCTTAGATTTTGAGGTCTCACATCTTCTTGCCTCCTTTCAGCACTACAGAGCATCCCAGGAATGGCACTTCTGCTCAGTTCTTGGATTGAGGGGAATGCAGAAGGATTTTACCTCACTTGTTTTCAGGAAATCTTTTTATTGTAAGTGAAGTCAGTCCCCCCTTTTTTACTTCACATACTGCTTTTAGCTATCCTTGTCTTCTCTATCCCCTTCTTTTCCCTTCCTCTTACATGTGTGACTCTAAGGCCACAATCCTATACAAGGGATTACTTAGTTTTCTGCATTTTTACCTCTCACCTTTAAATATGATTCTGTTATTCATGTTTCGTTAACTAAACTTACAATTAATACGAAAGAAATGTGAGTAAAACAGTAACTGACAAAAATAAGTACCAAATTGAGAGATTATTTAGTGTTTTTTACATTATACACCTGTACATGTATTTCATAAATTTTCAAATTAGTAAAATAATTGTTGATAGGACCGGGGATTTAGCTCAGTGGTTTCACCGCCTGCTGCACAAGCGCAAGGACCTGAGTTCAATCCTTGGTACCCCCCCCCCCAAATTGTTGATAGAGCAAAAACATCAAAATACTTAAAAGTTTCTTTATGTGATAGGACCTATTTTAAAATTTCTGTAAGAATTTGAGATTAAATGCACCAAGGAATTGTGCAATAAAACATTGGAAACCCCAGAAATTAAATCTGAGTTTTCCCTACCAGTAGTTGTGATGATGCTTATTTTGTTTTGTTTTTTTCTGAGTGTTATTTTTCTTTTGGAAAAATTTTGGGTCTACTAAAGATTTAGAGAAACTAAACCACAGTGGCAGTAATTACTGTAGTTCCAAATTAAAGAGTAGCTTTTATGCTTTGATAAAAGAACTATTGTTGATAAGTTCCTTTTAGTATAAAAAGATAAGATTGTTCTCAGTAACATTGTCTTTGAATAAATAGGGCAGCCTTAGATGATGCTGTTCTGCAGAATGCATGGGAGGTGTGCATGGGAAGAAATTAAATGGGTCAGGGTTTGGTGACAAGAGAAGCAGAAGTGAGGAAGGCCAGAAAGACTTTGCATGGGTAGCATAGATGATAAATGACTGTGAAAGAGTTTGAAAATGGAGGGGTGTGCAGGCTCTAAACATGTCAATAATGTCAGGTAAGGTCTTAGTTTTCGTTATACAGATATTAAGCTTTCTTTGTGTCTGTGGGTATGAGAAAGGGGGACAGAAAAAAGGATTGAGGATGGGTATATCAGGACATCACTGTTTTGTTTATTTTCACTATTAAACATCTTGGTATATTTGTAAAAATTCTATTATGACTTTTACTATTTGTACCTGGGCAGTTGATAAAAAGTTAACCTGGTTAATGGATCTATTTTGCTTTTCTGCTTCTCATCTATCCTAGCCCTGCCTCTTTCCTGTGTTTTCTCTTTTGAGCATTACTAGTCCTAAAACTTCTTTGCTCAGCTTTTCTGTTCCCAGTGTCCTACGCGTGCTGACCAAACTGTCACCCTCCATGCCCCTCTGCCTCTAGAATGTACTGGGAATTACTCTTATCACAGGCTTCTATAACACCTGTTAGTAACATCTCTTTATGTGTTTGTTTTCTCTAGTAGCCTTTTAGAGGGAAGGACCAAGTCATGCTCATTTGTGTATCTTCACATTGATTAAATGTTAATGGAAAGAATAAATGGTGTTTCCAAGCTTTGTACTGGGCATGATCACTGTGCATCAGTGTGGCAGTGCAGTCATTGACCACTGGGGGTTGGGAGATACATGACTAGAGAAATGACCACACAGATGGCAAAGGATCTGAGGCTGACTCAAAGATGAGGAAGGTAGAACTCCTGATAGTGCTCTATAAAGTAGGTTTCAGTGATGGTTTTGGAGTTGAAAATGATGTTGTATGGTAAGCATTGCAGCCTTGTGTGCAGACTGCTGGAGGAAAGGTAGTTCATTCACCCTAGGGAGGTCTGAGAGGACTAGCATTGGAGTTGAGTCTTGCAGAGTATGTAGTTACCACATGAAGAACATGGTGTTTCAAGACAGCATGTACCCAAACTGTTGAAGTGGGAAGGGTTTTTTTTGGAAAGTTGAGATGGAACTTAAGGCTCATGAAAATTGAGATTGGGAAAATGGCAGGAAATGAAGGTGGAAGGGGCCATGTGTGTAATGCTGAGTGGCTGCTTTTCACCTTATTGGAAGTTTGAAACTCATAGGACTGGTGTAGATTCACGTTTTAGAACAACGCATGGGAGCAATGTGGAAAAGGGAGTGAAAGAGAAAAAATAAAGGCAACAGATCAGCTAGGAAATCAGTGCAGCAGTCCACATGAACAAGAGGTGGAGCCTGAATTACAGCATTGACAGTGGAGATGTGGAGATGATGACAAAGTCTAGAGTATGATTCTGGGCAATGGAATTTGTGAGATTTAACTGACTGGAGCTACATGCAGCAGTTCTGGGGAAAATGGAAGAACAGAGTTGGGATGAGCTGTAAAATGGGACCATTGGATTTGACCAAGTCAGAAGCTGTTTCAGTGAGAAAAGTTACTATACTATGGTGGGATCAGGAACTTCATGCCAGTGGCCAAGTGCAGTGGGCATTAATGAGGGGAGACAATGAGTACAGATAACCTTTCTGTTTTGTAAGGCAGTTTAAAATGGGAAGTAGATAACTGACAAAAGGTAGCAGGAAGCTCTTTTAGTATAAGGAAATACAAATAAATATACCTGTATACGTGTAGAGGTAGTAGGAGAAATAATAGACCAAAGAAGGTGAGATAGAAGAGCAAAGAAACAGCAAGTTCCCAAAAGTGGTGGGAAGAGGATGAGTCTGTAAGCATGAAGATGAAAATGTGTAAACATCCTCTACAGAGGTTGAGAAATGAAGTTGCTATTGTTTGTAAATAGAGTTGGGTTTGGAGTAGAGTAAAGAAAGTTGAGGGAGGTGTTGCTTTTATGGATTTGCAGGCAAGGTCATCTGCAAGAGGTGGCAAGATGGACTGCTTAGAGGGCTAAAAAATGGTGAGTGCCTGAAACAGTGATTGTAGGATTGAGAAAGAGCCAACCAGGGACAGGCAGCAGATAATTTCCACCAGTGAGGGCCTGGCTGAAATGGACAGCAGGTGACTCAGAGGTAGTATTCCTGGTATTTCTCCTGTAGAGCTCTCTCTGGTCTGGGAGCTGGAATAGGTAAACTACAACATGATTATTTATTTTCCTACATGATTTTTTTAAAGAGAATTTAATAAAGATTTAAATTTCTAGCATATTTCAGTATTCTTAGTCTGTGTTGTAAAATACACATTATATTTACCATCTTCACCATTTTCAAGTGTACAGTTCTATAATGTTAAGAACACTGACATTGTTGTGCATCCACCCTTGATACCATCCAAATCCAAAACATTTTCACTTTGCCCAACTGGAACTCTGTACGGGTTAAACAACTCTCCGTTCCAATCCCCCCAGACAGCACATTGTACCTTCTGTCTGTATGAATTTGACTACTTTAGGAACCTCATATAAAAGGAATCACAGTGTTTGTCCTTTTGTGACTGGCTTGTTTCACTTGGCATAACGTCTTCAAGGTTCATTTGTGTTTAATGTATATCAGGATTTCCTTCACAGGCTCTCCCCTCTCCTGGGAACACAGTTATCCCACAGCCATTATTAAGTTTTAGGTCTGCCATTTTAGTTCCACATAGGGAAGAGAGAAGGGAACTCACATTTTTTACATACATCCCATTTACCACCTGTCAGGAATTACATTGTTTGAAAATCCTTCCACTCATTGAATCTTTGTAACAATTCCTTGAGCTGATGTTAGTACTACTCTCACTTTACTGTTGCTGAATCACCTGAATTTCAGCATAAGTAGCTCTTGCAAGATCACACTTTTGCAAAAAAAGGGAACCAGGAACTTCGTGACACTAGAGGCAGCACTGGCTGTACCACCTTTCAGCTCTCCGGGTAGTCTTACCTCTGATTATATTGTTCTGAAAGAGCAGAATCTCTTTGCTTAGAATTTAAGGAGGTTGTGCTGTTTAAGATTTTCCTAGTGTTCAGCAAATGTAACATTAAACTTCTTATTTAGTATTTAAGCTTTTAAGAACAGAATCAAATGTTTGCCCAAAGTGGAAATTAGTTGTATAATTAATTGATTGAGCCACACAGTTATTTGTATAATGGTGTCTGGTATATTTATCCAACTTAGTATTGATCTCAAGGGTAGTTTACAGAACTAAATTGATAGATTTGTAGGATAGATTTCTGAAGGAAAATACTTGTTTTGGCTAAACTTACAGATTCTGTCTTAATCGTAAGTAGGAAAGGAGAAAATCTAAAAATGAAAAATATAAAACCTCTCATTTTAAGGCTTTCCTAAAACCAAAATATTATTCAAGTAATCTGAGTCTGGAGTATTTGAATACCAAAACCACAATCTGAGATTTGCCATGCTGAAGTATTGTTGTTGCCTTTTTAATCTATGTTACTCCAAATTCTTGAATCCTCTATCCTTATGCTTGTGAAAAACATTTTTCTTAAGCAAATGACAGTGACATATCAAGGTTGCTTGAGAAGATGGTCCTGAGAAAGCAACCAGTCGTTTACAGAATGGTTATTTCTAGAACTAGAGACCTTTATGGATGTAAGCCAGTGGGCTTTGGTGTGGTTTAAAGGCTGAGCTTATCTCTGTGTTTGTTCAGTGCATTGCTTTGAAAGTTTGGAGAGCACCACAAATTTTGAGTTTCTTCTGCATTCTGTGACCAATTGTTAGAGAGACCCAGAGTCTGAAATTTGTGTTGACTTTAGAAAGTTATTCTCTGAAGCCCGTTTTTGGAGTGACTCTAAAGAAAGAGGAGTACCAAAGCCAGGTTCAGTCTTGGAGTGGATGCTTTGGAAGAAGATGAGTGGTTCTCTGGAACCATTAGAGTGGCTTAGATTACATTCTACTGTAATTATGAAAACAAAGAACAATAAATCAGTGGGCCTGTAAAATATCGTGTAATCTTCCTTTAGGCCAATAATACCAAAATCATGGAGACTGTATAAGTGTTTCCTCTCTACTTTCTTTTTTAATTTTTCCTACGATTGATAGGATTAAAATTTCATAATCCCCTGCCATTGAAGGT